GCATTTGCTCACGTCAGCAGCGTACACCCATGGGCAAATGGGGGACGCTAAATTGACCAATCAGAGCGCGCGCTTTACTTTGGTTATGTTATAAACTTACCTTGAGTTCACTAGCCAGTTCCTGGCCTTCAGATGTTGACACCTAAACAAGGTTATAAAGTAAAAAGAAAAATGACTACCTTGGCCGTACTTATTTTGTCTTATGTTCTAAGCATGGAGGTGGATCAGCTTCTCTCTTTGGGAAGCATGTGACGGGGTAATCAGACTCTGAGATGGTCACCTAGTACATTTGCGTTAAGTGTATGCCTGATGCCCTTTAGGTTGTCTCCCTTTTCTGTTAATCAAAATTTTGATTTCCCTTACTGACAATTCAATAAATGAATGGGTATCAATAATGAGTAACTGTATCTCAACACTGTTAAAATTTATAACAAATCACTATTGCCCCTTCCAGAACAAAAATTAAATTCACTGAAAGACAGTAGCACCAGAATTCTGGTTTTCAGAGACCAAAAAGATTTTTGTATTGTTGTTGGAAGTATTTACCATTCAAGACTCTTAGTTCATAATTTGTTGCTTAATGTATAACTGAACCTATTTATTTCTGAGTGACTTACTGTTCTTTCTGGTTCTAAGTCAGACTTGTTTCCAACCAAAATCATTGGGAACTCTGACCTACAAGATAAAAACACAGAAACACTTGAGAAAACTACAGTAGAAACACAGCCCTGTGAACTTTAACTTTAACCCTTTACACCATAAAATCATAATTCTTATTCTACATTCTGTTCTCTATACATTTCCAAGGGTTCCTTTATTCTTGCAACCTTAATATTTGATTCAGGTGTGATATTGTAAGGACAAATTAGACGCTGGTCACCCGAAGGGGACCAATAGTTTTGTATTAAGTATATTAATCCGTAGTTTTCACTAGCAACTTTTGTGGTTTCCTTTGGTGTTGATGTATGGAATCCCACAACAGTGGGTTCCCACTCCACTGATGACCAATCTTGTGATCAATGGGTAAAAAAGGAAAAAAGTGTATGCAAGGGTGTACTGTAAGGACAAGTTAGACGCTGGTCACCCGAAGGGGACCAATACTTTTGTATTAAGTATATTAATCAGTAGTTTTCACTAGCAACTTTTGTGGCTTCCTTTGGTGTTGTTGTATGGAATCCCACAAAAGTGGGTTCCCACTCCACTGATGACCAATCTTGTGATCAATGGGTAAAAAAGAAAAAAAGTGTATGCAAGGGTGTACTGTAAGGACAAGTTAGACGCTGGTCACCTGAAGGGGACCAATAGTTAACCCTATAACTACAAGAAGTGATTAACGCAGAACTCCTCCACATGTAATGAGAATACTCAAACTAGTCTGGTAGATGATGTTATCTTAATCTAACACCAAATTCTTTTAACTATTTTACAAGGAAATGTGTAGCAAACTAGAGGGGAGAATTTACAATCACATCTTGGAAGTTAAAGGGCTAAGACAGCTGTGTATAAAACCTTGAAACTGTAGAGTAGAACGTCAATCTATATAATTTTTACTGAAAAGGTACATGTGACATGGCATCAGTTTGCCGTACATAAATGTAGCAGACCTAACACATTCATGTTATTGTTGCAGTGAGGCTCCACAACACACCTGTCTTTCACGCGAAGTATCTGTGGATGAAATGTACGCTTTACTTCTTCAAAGCTAAAAAAAAAATTAAAAATATAGATCAGTGGTTTCCTACATGTGGAGTGAGCAAGTCAATTGGTTTGTTAGGTGCCTTTGAGTGCAATCTATACTGTGGAATTTTCTGAAAATGGGACTTCATAGAGAAAGAAAAGTTCACAAGGGCAAAATTGATTTCATAGATTTCAACACTGTCAAATCCAAGGGCCTATCAAGGGGTCTAATAAGAATAAATTTCAATTGATACTTGCAACACATCTACATTCATTTACAAATGCTCATATGCATGCAAACAAACAAATATTTTAAATAAACATAAAGTGTTTGAAAATCACAACTGGCAGAAGGCAGACCAGTTGGCTATTTACACAGTGCAACCGAGAACTCAAGGTGACCGAGAACAAATTCAGTGAGTAGCAGGGAGAAGGACATGAACCTGAGACCATCAGATGACAAGTCCAATGCCCTAACTCTTTGGCCACCCCGCCTTGGGTCTGTTAATTATTAAACAAGAAAAATCAAAACTTGTTCCATGTCATTAAAATTTCAAATTCAAACTAACTTACTTTTACTTGTTTGAAAGTTGTAAGAAAACAAAGAAAAGTAAATTTAAAAAAAAAAAAAAAACAAACAAAATAACAACAGTGAGAGTGAAAAAAAAAAAGAGGAAGAAAATTACAGAGAAGCACATAGAAACTGTTCATTCAATATAATTATATGTAATTACAAACCTTGAACGATCTATTACCGAGAAAACTAATAAAAATCCTTCACCATTCCGCATGTATTGTTCTCTCATTGCACTAAATTCCTAGTGGGAGAAACAAAGAAGACTAAGTCATTTAACCAACTCATGTTTGATATAGTTCATCACTTGTAAACAAGATAAAAATATATTTATTTATTTCAGACTGAGCCATCATGTGATGGGGTGTGAAATAATACTATCATTCAGAGCAGTACAGGACATGAATAACATTGTCATACTACCAACAGGGAAGAAAATTATCAATTCTTACCTCTTGACCAGCTGTATCGAGTACTGCAGAGAATATAAGTTAAAAAAGAGAGTAATAACAGCTTAGTGAGGGTAAAATCACATGTTTGTCATGCTTGTTTTTTCCAGTAAACATTCAGTACACTGAAGGTGTTTTGCTTGCAAAATAGAAACTGCTTGTCTGAGTTTCCCATGGAAATAATAATGAAAAGAAATCAAAGATGAAGGAAAATTGAGAGAGCTTTTAGGCTACAAAGACCTTCTGCAAATACACATTTGTGTTGATTAAATAATTTCATTTACAGTGAAGCCACACTGCAAGTCAAAAGGGAAGAATTCAGAAACAAAATTTAAAGGGTTAGTATCAGTCAAAATTTTTTTTAATGACAGGAAAGAGTAAATGCTAAAATATTTAATTGATGTTGGTAAAAATCATGTCAAGATACATTTAGGGCTCGACACTAACGGCAGCCCACTAGCCACAGACTAGTGGAAATTTGGTATTGGCTTGTGGTTTTCGATTTCCACTAGCCAGTTTGGCCAGTAAACAAACTGAAATTGTCGCACCATCTAAGAATTCACTAGCCACTTGGCTAGTAAGTTGAAAAGTTAGTGTCGAGCCCTGTACATTTCCAAATTAAACACTCCAGTATTGTTTTGCCTAAAACATTGCAAGCATTTAATATATTGATTTGTTGTTCTGTCTACCACTAGAACAGAGGCAAATTATTTGATCAGGAAAGTAGAGCAATTAGGTAATAAATATGAAAAAATTTCAAGTAATTTCATTAAATCATTTTAATTAAGAGCAAAAATGTTTCTTTGCTAAATTCATCAAAATTGTTTGATGTAAGAGAATGACAAATTTCATGCACCAAAATAAAACAACATACCTAACCTAGATTTTTCTCATGAAAGGTGCTATTCCTCAAGGTAGGATTAGGGTATAAAGGGTTGTATTTCAATAACTACAAAGTGCTATTTCAGTTGTAAAAGCAGGTATTCATAGAAAAAAAGAATGCAATCCTGTCTCAAAGATAACGATCAGGAAGAACCATTTCTTTCAAATAAATATCATAAAAAGCCAACATTTTACATATTAAGTACCCGATCAGAAAAATCTTGTTCCAGTTTTTACCATTTCGATTTCAAACCGTAACAGATTTAAGTTAGCGTGTGATGTAAAACTTGTTCCAAGAAGAAAAATTCATTTTACGCTTTCAGCAGAGATTGTGTTAAATGGTCGGAGAGCATCACATTCCTATAAACAGGATGGAGCAGCCATATGTTTATTTTCCGAAAGTAAATTACTAGAATTTCTTCTGTTCCCTATTTTGGCCAAAACGACGTTTTCCTTTTGCGGTCGATGGAAGTCTTAAGAAAAGAACGAAATACGGCTGTAATTTGCTATTAAGATATATTGTAGTGGTCTCTGCCCATCGAGTCTCCATCAGAATATTTGCTCCCATTCCCAAACACGAAAGTGTGAAATTGAGGCTACCATTTCCATGGTAAATCTATCCGGTATCCTCAACGACGCTTCTGTTCCAAATCTAAAATACTCTTGTGTCTCTTCGTGTGTGTCAAAATCAGTGGAAAAAGAAATTTGTGTACAAATAGAGATCACATATGTTCCCCAAAAATGCTGAAAATTAATTACAAGGATATTGACTACAAATATTCTTCGATTTCCAGGGCCGTGCAGCGACTCGAATGCTGACACTCCCCAAGATCAACCCGTGTGATCAGTGTGATCTCGATGTATTTTATGTGGATGATTTCAATAAGAAACAACACAAACACTTCACTTACTGTCTAAATGGGCAACTTTTTCGTCGATGACACACTGTTTACGATAGCTGTCTTCGATCGTAGGATCATAGTCACTCACAAAATGCGATTGAATAAACTGTATAGTTAACGCAGATTTACCAACCCCTCCGCCTCCGACCACAACCAACTTATACTGTTTGTCAGCATCCCCAGGTTTGGCCATATCGTGAAATCTGCAAAAGCAACTTTTGATAACAGAACGAAGCCTTATATGAAGGCGAATACTCCGACGAGGTAAATTTGAAGAACTTCAAGGAGTGGAACACAACTTTGGGTGGAGGGGACAATTCTTGGCATATCATTGGTACCCAGTTCCTCCGGGACAGTAGAAGCCTTTCCGCGTGAAATTTGATCTCATAACCTTTCTCAGTCAAATTTTCGTAAATCGAAAACAAAACAATGTTCCGCCCTAGTAACTCTAGGATGCCATATCATTTCCTCTAAATATGATACATTTCGATTTCCCCCTAAAAAAAAAAATAAAAGCACACTTTGTCATCGGTATTTAGATTTCTCTTCTGTCAGTCATTGTCTTCAGACGCTCCCCCAACCTTCGCGACACATAAGTAAGTTACAGCCAAACTCCCCTCCAATTCTACCACTTCCCATCCTCAAATCCCCCCCCCCTTCCGGCTCTTTCCGTTATGGCAGTAACTGCGCTACTTGTCCCTACATCTCTGACGGACTTACCTTTTTTTCCACCGGCGAAAGACGTACTATTAAATCTCACTTGACTCGTGACACTATCTACTTGATTCAATGTAACCGCTGTAACTTACAATACATAGGAGAAACTAAACCACGTTTAAAAGACCGTTTTAATGAACACAGCCGTACCATTCATAAACCTAACTCTAAATCTAAACCTACTACAGTCGCAGAACACTTCCTTTCCTCTCCCAACCACTCTGCTTCCGACATGGAGCTTATCGCCATCGAAAAAGTGTTTTCCGAGAGAGACTCAATCCGCAAGGCCAGGGATGCTTTTTTAATTTCAAGAGGCAATACTATTTATCCCGATGGCCTTAACGCTCGCGAAGAACTGTATTAGTGTTTTTCCTTCTACTATTCTTACTTCTAGTTATTTAATTTATTCAATCTACCCCACTTTACTTCTATTTTTATTTACTATTTCTATTTTCAATTATCTCATTGTCAACCAAATTAGTTTTACGTATTTCCGCTATTACATCATACAGCTGTCTAATTACCACCTGAAGAAGGTTGGTTTGGCCAGCCGAAATATAGTGCTCCGTTTTAAAACTTATCTACGTTGTATCGGCCTTGCCTCTATATTTATATTCGTTATTTTGGGCCGATTAGATCACTGCTGATCCAACGTACAAGAGTAGGATTATCGTCCACGGTTGCTTGCTGAACATTTCACAGTTAAAAAAAGTCCTATTTTTTCCTAAAAAGGGGTGGTCAGAGCGAATCACTCTTCCGTTTAAATCTCTTTACTGAACGAAATACTAGACAATAGACGTTATGATAAAAAAATTTAAAAAAAATTACATAGATACAGATACATATCCAAGTTGTTTAATTGTTTCATTTGTTTGGATATCAAATGAATAACACCTTCCCGCCAATTTGGAAAGTCACATGACTTTAACGTTTATGATTGGCTAGATCAAACATTTGTTTGTTTCACAGCACCGTTGTACTTTACATGTTGCACACTTCGCCATTCATTCTTCACAAGGCCTTGGATTTCTCTTGCATTTTGCTGTACAGTTTACTTCCAAATCTACCTAAATAGTTTTTTAGACGCACTTATTACCAGTTGGTTCAATGGCGTGCACAAAGTCTCGACCGGGACGCCTTCCATTCGTCCTAGAAGAAAACGATTGTGAAATGGACAGGTCTTCTGCCGACGCAAAGAGCGGTTATAGTCCTTCTCGGCTCACTGTACCAGTATCGCCCGAATTCACGGACGAGTGTTGGGATCTTGGCTTTTCAAGTCCTTTTAGAGATTACATGTCGGATGAATCACCAGAAAAAGCCAAGATGAGTGGTTGTACCACTCCGCCTCTGTCGCCTCCCTCTCTGGGAGCGCTTCGATTGTTCGACTCCCCGCAGACGCCTAAAAGTTTGCTTGAACGTTCGTCTATGAATCGCACGATGGATTTTAAAAGGCCTGTATCGAGACTGCGCCATGGCTTACTGAAAGGTCGTGGATTTGAAAGTGAACCCCGAATGGGACCGCGATCTCGCCAGGTAACTGCAAATGTAAACCCGTTTACTCCAGACACCTCGGCCATTGGTGCGAAGCGAGCAAGAAATGGAGAAGGAAGGTTGGTTTCCAGACTTCTTTTTTTCAAGAAATGCAAAAACTGCATAAGTTTCTGAAACGATTAATGTGGTTCCTTTATTCCAAATTACCTGTTACGTTTACATCAATTTTCCAAGGTCTTTTGTTCATGCGCAGCTCAAAAAAAGTTTAAATTAAGTGTCGGAGGTGAAGGGGCGTCTCGGTTGGTAATTTCCGCTGACTGGGTTTGATTTGTCAACTGACGCCTAATTTTTTCCCAGTCATCGTTAAAGCATTGACAACCAAATCAGAACCGGACTGTCAGCTTCACTCTCCCCTTAACCCACACTCACCTCTGCATTCCTGTGTCACAAGTGAGACAAGTCGGCACTGATGCAATGTTTTCTTTTTCTTTTGAGAAAATTGTTTTCATAAAATTTATTATTGTGATTTGACGGTGATTCACAATGGAAGGGCCCATAACAAAGTAACAAGACCTTGACACTTCGTACGGTTTTGAGGATGGGCTAAAAGTGTAATATGATTATTTTCAGAAATGGTTCAATTTGTAATGATAACGACGATGAAGATGTGGACGACGATGATGATGGAATATTTGGAAATCCAGCAAAGGTAACCATCCAGTGGTGTTATGCTCTTTGTACCTTAGACACAATGAGCATCATGTATTTTACAACTCTTTTTCTTTGATCTCCAGAGGCTTGCACTCCATGAGAGTAACATTTCACGTTACAATGCAGAATTTATTGAAATAAGCACCATAGGTTCTGGCCAGTTTGGCTCTGTACATAAATGTCTAAACAGATTAGGTGAGCATCAAATTTACTGTTCTGTTTTGTTGAGCATATTTTTCATGTTTTCTGGATTGTCCCACTTGTCCTTTAATAATGCGAAAGCAATCATCATGGGGGGTACTTCTTAGTAATGGGCTAATGGTGATTTGCAGCTGGATGGCATTGCATTTTGTTAACTGGATTGACTAGAATAGGGTTTCTTTTTCAATTGCTGGTTTCACTGTTATATCATCATCAAAACCATTCAACAAATAAAGTCAAGAATAAAAGGGATAAAAGAAGATGAATATTCAAAGTCTTGCAAAGATTCAGGTCTGAGTGATGTTTCTTGCGGGAGATATTTGAAGAAATGTTGTACTCAAATTTATTAGGCTTTGCGTAGAGACATCATGTTTGTGTCCCCTCTATTATTGGCCAGAGAATAGTCTATGATGGGGTAGGGGGTCTTTGCATGTACAATGAGCTCAATACATAAATAGAGCTAATAAACAAATTTGTGTTTGATTTAAGATGGATGCATCTATGCATTAAAGCGGTCGCTGAAACCAGTAGCTGGTTCTATTGATGAGTAAGTACAAGAGAGAACAATCGGAGTGAGATTAAGATGAGAATACTGAAAGAAAGGATAAGAATTTCCAAAATTGTTGAAGTACTGTTTTGAATAACCAAGCTGTAGCTTCACAAGTCAGAATAATTTCACCTCTGTTCAGGGCTGCAAGCACAATTCAGCTTCCAGTCATCTCTTATAAAGCACTGAGCTACAACTGCTCTTCTGTTTGTATTGCCTTTCCCAGTTCTTTTCTACTTAGCTGATTAGTGTTTTGACCTTGCTCAAGTTTTTCTTCCCTACAGTGTCTTCCAAAATTGACATTGTCATTTTTGATAGCTGCAAGAATAGGTTACAACTAATTTTAATTTTTTTGGGCAGTTAACAACTTTGTTGTCCTTAAATTGTCAGCAAAAGTCAGTATAATGAGATTACCTTCTCTAATTTTACAGGCAAAATGCAACGCGTGAGGTGTATGCCCATGCTGTCCTAGGAAAGAATCCTCACGTCGTACGATATTACTCTGCATGGGCAGAAGACGGACACATGTTGATACAAAATGAGTACTGTGAAGGTATGAGGGACAATCATACACTGTATATCGTGTATTATTTAAGTAAAACCATTCTTTTGATGGGTCCCTGCTGTTATTTGTTGGGTGCATGGACTAATAGTATACACTTGGATTGTCATTTATTCTTTATCACATAGTCATTTTGACACTTTTTTAGGAGGAAGTCTGGCTGACTTGATTGAAAGAAATGCAAAACAAAATGAAACTATGGCAGAAGGAGAATTAAAACAGCTTCTTATTCAAACAGCTGAGGTACATGTGACCTAAACTGTTATTATTCTTGCATCGATGTAATTTGAGCAAATCCTAGTTTAATGGAAACTCAAGCAATAAATTAACTCAACCTGGACTCCTGGAGATAATGTGATCTGTGTGGTGGTACTAATCTGCTTAACTTACTCTTTTTTTTTTGTAGGGTTTAAAGTATATCCACTCATTGGCTTTGATTCATATGGATATCAAACCTGGTATGTAATACTTAATGCTTTTTACATTCAGGGATATTTAGAGTCTGCAAGATTATTTTGATAAACATATCAACTCAGTTGAAATATGTAAATTGGTTATATCAACTCAGTTGAAATATGTAAATTGGTTACATCAACTCAGTTGAAATATGTAAATTGGTTATATCAACTCAGTTGAAATGTGTAAATTGGTTACATCAACTCAGTTGAAATATGTAAATTGGTTATATCAACTCAGTTGAAATGTGTAAATTGGTTACATCAACTCAGTTGAAATATGTAAATTGGTTATATCAACTCAGTTGAAATATGTAAATTGGTTATATCAACTCAGTTGAAATATGTAAATTGGTCACCATAACGAATAAACATAGTTGATAAACATAGTTAGGCTTCCAGCATTTATATACTATATGCCATAAGATCACAATTAATTGTAATGTTTTCCACTGAGTCTTAATGCATTTGTGCCTTTCAGGGAATATATTTATTAGTTACAGCTCAGGTATTGATGAATGCAATCACAGTGGTGATGAAGGATTTGATGAAAATGACACCCCAGGCCCAAGGAAAAGAACACCACTTTACAAAATAGGTACATTGGATTTTTCCCTTAGAACCTGTTCAGAAGCTTTGCTTTACTACACAAGCTGTCCCTTAGAACCTGTTCAGAAGCTTTAATTTACTACACAAGCTGTTTTATTTGAATGAGGATAGATTCAAATTAATTGAGACTGGCTGAATTGATTCAGTTGCTGACCTTAATTCCAGCTAAACTAATGAATTTGATGCCTAAATTGTTATCATCTAAGCATGTGAGTTAGTTCATATAAAATATAACATCATGAGTCAGTGTCAATCAACAGCTGTCATTCTTGCCTGCCTCAAGTTGGAAAAGTGGCTGAGCCAATTTGAAGCCAAAACCCATGTTGGCAGGAAAATGCATGCACTATATTATGCACCTCAGCACAGACTCCACCGTCCACCCTATCTGTTTGAGTAGTTATGACTTCTAAACTCACTGGCAAGAATTTCATACTTCCTTAACTTTAGTTGAATGGGATTTCATTTGTTGAGAGATTATCCAATCAGCAGAGTGCTGCATAGTTTTGTAAATCTTACCTCTTTCAGCCTAACGGTTGAGCAAAAAAATTTGCAAATGTATATACTCAATTGTGTTCTTCTATTTTTTTTAGGTGACTTGGGTCATGTTACTTCAGTGAGTAGTCCACAAGTGGAGGAAGGTGACTGTAGATTTTTGCCCAATGAAATACTACAAGAAGTAAGTAAACCTAACTACTCCTGATTCCTTCACAATAGTAAAATATGGATACCTCCCTTAGCTGTTTTCCTAACATTAAACATGTGCTTTGATTCCATTTTAGGATTATTCAGCATTACCTAAAGCTGACATTTTTGCTTTAGCACTGACGGTGTTTCTAGCTGTGAGTATACCCTTACAAACTCATTAACTGTTATATGATATCTAAGAATCAGTAACAAAGCAATGAAATATGTTTGGCCATGAAATCCTTCCTTTTTAAGACTCCAATGTGTCTAAAGGCCCGGCCAAACGATAAATGTTGGACGATCCAGCATGTTGGGTGAACCAACATTTTGTCATTTGGCCACCGTGTTTGATAACCACTCAACATGTTGGAACATGTTTGAAGCGGTATCAAACATTTGATCCAACATTGTCCAACATTTCTTTTGTTCATGTTGGATGTGTGAAATTTTGTTCGTTTGGCCAGTCTCAACAACATGTTGCATGCGCGTACTTGCGTTGTGACTGCAAACTCAGTCGTTACCATAGACACCATTGGCTTGCATCAGTGTGGTTTGAAAATGGCAGCCAGTGAGGAAGCAGCGCAGAATATAGCTCAAACTTCTAGCAAAAAAAAAAACACCAAAACAAAAAGCAAGATGTTGGAGGGACAAGGAAACCTACCGATTGATCGACCTATTGGAAGAGAATAAATGCTTATGGGATGTTTTTTGTGCCGAGTACCACCTGAAAGGCAAGAGAGAACGAGCATATTTTTTTATCAATTGGCAGCTAGTTCTCGAACAATATTCAATTTGGTAAAATAACCACTCTCTCATTGTCTTCGAATCCATTCTCTTGTTTTCCCTCATTTACTTGCTCTATCCTCGGTTTCTTCAAGCTCATCAAGCATTAATAACACTGATAAACAGCGCTTAAATTTTTCTGTCCTCTCCGCCATGTTTTAAACATCCGTGGATATTACAAGGTGATGTGCGCTGGGAAATATCCTTACCCACAACCCTATGCGTCCCATGTTTGATCAAACATGTTGAATGGATGTTTGGTATCGTTTGGCCACCCCCTAATTTACAACATGTTGGACTGTCCAACATGCAACAAACATGTTGGATCGTCCAACATTTATCGTTTGGTGGGGCCTTGAGACTCATTAACTATTAAAAACAGAAGGGGGGGAGGGTGGGTGAAGATGAAACATTGTTTCGGAAAACAAATGAGCTACGCATGCGTGTATGAATAAACTGACCTCGAGGAAGTCTGGGGATCAAAGGATGTTCACATTTTCATTGTATCAAAGCCCTCTGTGGCATTCTGCACAATAATAAGGAACTTCAGCAACTTGTACCACTTCCAAGAGGTGTGGTACACATCACTTGTTTGTTGACCGGACTTCTTTTTTCTTTCCAGGGCCTGTTCCCTCATAAATTGTGACCTGATAATTTTGCACTTGCTCTTGTAATCCTCCCGGCTGATGTCATATTTTTCTGTCATCAGTAGATCGATTTGCGAATATGTCACCTCCTTACTGTCACTATTCGTGTAGTCCTTATGACTCACGTCCCAGAGACAAGGCCTTTCCTCATACAGAGTAATTAGCATTTCAATTTCTTCATCTTTCCAATTCCTTTCCCTTCCCTTCCCTTTCCCTTTCTTTGAGCATGACCTGCTTGAATTTCTTCGCAGTCAGCCATTTTAATTGTTGTCTGCTCGCCGCTGGTATGAAATATTTTTCAATGTGCGAGCAGCACTGGAAACTAATCAACATTGGCCCGGTTTAGACTGGAGACGGATCATCCGTCTAGGACGAGCTCGGGCAAGGAACGGTAGCTCATCTGATAATTCGTCTGTGTATAAACACGGGCAATCAGTTGGATCATCCATCCAGACGAGCTATCGCCATAGTCCATCTTGTCAGACGAATTATCATGGATAACTCGTCAAGATGGATGATCCGTCGCTGTGTATAAATTCAGAAAGAAGATGTACTATCCGCAAAAACTATACCTTTTCGTTGTGCTTTTTTGGAAATCCGTTCAGAAAACTCATCCAGTATAAAACACGGGACGAGTCACATGATACATTGGTAGTTGGTCTCATAGTCCTTCACGCATTTATACTAGACGGATGATCCTTCTCGACAGATGATCCATCTCCAGTATAAATCAGGCCATTGTTTTCATCTTGGCTAAACTGGGAAATGTATGTTTCAGATGCAAAATTTGTGTCCGGGAAACAAAAATGTTTTGTCTGCAGGCAAAAACAATTTTTGTTTCTGAGCAGCAAAATTTGTTTCCACAACATGTTTCCTGCACAGCTAAACTGGGAAACATTTACCTCCACAAGAATGTTTCCGCAACAAAGTTTCCTAGTTTAGCCAGGCCTTAACACCCAAACAAAATAGAAAGTTAATATAATGCATGAATTTTCTCATCAGGGTGGAGGGCCAGAACTTCCAAAGAATGGTGAAGAATGGCATGAAATCAGGTATGCAGCTAACCACCCAGTAGTTGTCAGACGATAAGGCACTGAATGTTTCAACTGTTGCTTAAGAATATCCACTTTTTGAGGGTAAAAATTAATACACTACAACAAGTCTTGTTTTAAAATAAACCTCCTGCTTGAAAGTGTAGGGACCATATCTACAAGTAGATTTATGCACTGCCTTTTAAATTATACGTTACAGAAGTACTCCATTTTAACAAACAGAAAATGTAATTTTTTTGTTCTGTTCTTCCCTAGGAGAGGCCAACTAGAAAATCTGAAGCATATCTCAAAAGAAATGAACTCACTATTAAAGGTTTGTACCAGCTAAGGTTGTTATTCCGGTAAACCCACAAGCCCAAAATTATGGATTAGAACTTGATCCAAATCCTTAGTTACAGTTATTTTGTTCTGCCATTGATTTATACACATATCGTAATATTCACCTCTTTAAAGTTACCAGTATTAGGTCAACCTGAATCAATAAATATTTTAAGGTTGATTGAAGGTCAATGATGACTGTGAAAATGTTTGTGATCTTAATGAACAGATAGAATGGAGAAATCCTTACAAATTTACTCTTTGTTACAGCTAATGATTAACCCTTTGGCTAAAGACCGACCATCTGCCACAGCCCTGACACAACACCCAGTTCTTTGTCCTCTTGCAGCAAAATCCAAGGTAAGCTGAATAGTGCTGATCATCAAAAGTTCACTTCAGTGGACTCAAAGATATAACAGATAGATTTGTTTCATTCCCTCAGAGGAATTCTTCAGGGTTTTACAAGCAGAAAACAGTTTTTTCATTTAGCACTTCTCCATACTAAATTTTTCCAATTCACAGGCCCAACTCAGGAAGGAACTGAATGCTGAAAAATTTAAAAATGAAGTCCTATCAAGGTACAGTGAATTTCAAGTGTTAAAATGAAGATACAATGAATGACCCTGTTGTAACACGCCAGGTGTTAAAATATATGAAAAGCAACCTTTAACAATTATTCCACAAGTGTGTGTTGGATATGAGATGATAGATAGCCAACAAGGCGCATAGCGCCGAGTTGGCTATAATCATCTCATATCCAACAAGCACGAGTGGAATAATTGTTTTATTTAAAAAAAAATGCCACCAAGATATTAGACAAATACTCTCGACTTTATTTTGTAGGAAGAAACCGGATGTTACAATGTACAGTTATTAGATTATGGTATATTGGCTCATTTACCATAATGGCTAAGCCAATAAAAAGTCTTGAATTGCATTATCCACTCATCCAGTTTTTAATAATAGTTATTATCTTTTTAAATAATGTGAAATTCTGTAAAGGGAACTCCTCTTCAATGATCCTAAACACAAGCTAAGAGAATATATTTTCTTAGGTGATTACACAATGTTGTGAAACTAAAAAGAAATTCATTACTTCTTCAAAGACTTGTCCTGTGGGGGTCCAGCACTTCCTTCACCGTTGCTTTTTCTCTTGCTGGCTCAAGAATTCCAGCAGCCATTTCTTCTGTTGTAAAAAGCTGTGAAAACACCTTAAACTCATATTTCTTCAGGTCCCCACCAGAGGGAATGGCAAGAAGTTTAACCTCATTGTGCATCTAAAAGAAAAAAAAATGTGTCATTAGTGACTATCTCATTTCCAAGAAGTTTCAATAGGGACCTTAAGATCTACAATGGTGATGGTGAAGAAAATGCCTCCAAACAGTAGTATGATTGGTTAAAAGTTGAAAATAACCTTGCTGCATGTGCTGCTCATATATTTTTGGTACTGTGCATAAAAACGACATGAAATCACCAAATTTGAGGTTTTAAGGGCAACGCTCCCATAAAAATGCCTATCTTTTATTATCTATTCTTACTGTGAAACTGCTGGCACTAATTCATTTTTAAGATACTTCGTCCACATTAGACAACATGAATAAGATGGAATAACCACGAAAGACTTACNATAATCATCTCATATCCAACAAGCACGAGTGGAATAATTGTTTTATTAAAAAAACGCCCCAAGATATTAGACAAATCTTCTCAACTTTATTTTGTAAGAAGAAACCAGATGTTACAATGTACAGATATTAGATTATGGTATATTAGCTCATATACCATAATGGCTAAGCCAATAAAAAGTCTTGAATTGTATTATCCAATGATCCAGTTTTTAATAATAGTTGAATAGACCATGAAATCAGCATCTCAGTTTGTCCTTTTTATCTTTGACTTGATGTTCTTTCATGCCCAGGATGGTGGTTCAGAGAAAATATTTTTTTTAACGAATAAACAAAAATTTCCCAGCCTTTGCTTATCATACTGTCACTTTATGACTACAAATAAAAGCTAGACTACAAGCAGTGTCTCTTTTTGGCAAAGGCCAATAGATTACTTTGGGTAACTAAGGCAGCTGATCTATTGTAGATAAAGAACTTTTTTTATTTTTCCCTTTTTTAGGGAGCTGGAGGAGGCAAGAGTACAACAAAAGAACTCTCCACAGCGTAAAATAGGACTTGGGTCTCAAACCCGCAACTCTAGAGTTATAGGACAGAAAGTTAACAGAAGCATGAGTTTAAGTGTCATTATGTGAATGTTAATTGTTGTAAATAATGTTTTTACTTGTCATCTCAGAAATGTTTTACTATTTTTACAGGATCTTTTAACAGGATACCTTGAAATGTGGGCTATGTTGAATCGTTGATTTTCTATATTTTTACATAATTTTGTACAGGGGTTTTACTGAATCAAATAATTTGAAATTGAAACAAAATTAATTTTGAAAGGTTGGGCAACTTTAGGTGATATTGAAATAAAAATTTTTTAAAAAACATAGACATGTGTAATGTGTGAAAATTTATTAAACACCTAACAATCACCTGATAAATCTGAATTTAGAAAAACAACAGTGACAACTATTATTATCCAATTGGGCTTCATAGAGTACAAATATCATGCGATATTTGTGTTCCAGAATTATCCGTGAAATTCACCAGCACTGAAATAACAATTTGGCGTGTTGGATAATAAATCTCTTCTTAGATGTTTTGTTGTGTAGTATTGCTGCGTATTTTTGCTCATTTGTATTTTGACTCGCCCAATGAGCTCATCAATATACAGCACAACTCATAAAAATACTCAGTGATACTACCCAATAAAATGTCTAATAAGATATTTATGAACTTAATATTTGCATTAAAGATCGGGCAGTCACCTGCCACTTCTTGGTAAACCTTAACCCCTTGGAGGGATTAGCATCTCATTTCTCTGTACTGTATCATTGCTGAATCACAGGGGTGGATCCAGGAATTTTTGATTGGGGGGGTCCAAACTTTGGTTCAGAAAGGACTGTTGGACTCTTGAGGCAAATTGCATCTCCCCAACACCCCCCACACCCCTCCCACCAGTGGCGGTTGGATGTTATACTTCCTTGGCCACTTACCGTTTTACTTGGATTCATCAATTAAAAAAATCAGCCAGTTAAAAAGTGATATACGATCCTGTCGATGTAAGAGTTTCAGTCTCAAAGTTGTAAGCGTCAGGTCTGATAGGGGGGTCTGGAGCCCCCAGACCCTTCCCCTGGATCTGCCACTGAATCAAACACCAAAGTTATGAGAATGAAGGAAATGGTCAATGCCTTTTAGAAAGAAGCTCCTAAAAGGTAGACAAATGCCAATAGAAATGTATGAAGAATGGCATGTAGAAATCCAGACTGTGCTATGGAACATTATCACAGATACTCCTTCCCACCCCCTTTATCAACTATTACCTCCTAAGAAACAGATTTTTGCAAAACAGAGGACATGATTTTATTTCACCTGCTGTTAAAACAGAACGCTTTAAGAGATCCTTTATTACTGTGTCTTTTAATTTCATTAATTGTACTTGATCATAAATTGATGAGATTGTTTTGTCATGTTTGTAAAGTCACACATGTTGACTACCTGACTATGGATAATGAATAAAGACTCATTGTTATTATTAGAATATGCAAACTAACATTAGGGATAATGTGGATGCTAGGTAGCACGACAAGATATACAAACATCTTCCTAACTGCTTCACTGGGAATCTAAAGATAGAATTCAGAAGTGAACGGCATGCCTATGCAGTTATTCTTCTATTACTGTTTATAAAAATTAATCCCTTGCACACTGTCTGTGGTGAAAAACACTCTTGTCACTTTAACTGACAGCCTTCTTAAGTTATTGATCATACAAGAATCCAATAAGTCCTATCCTAGCCCCAATTAAAGAGAAAGAAAGCTTCCTCAAAGATTAACCGCCTCCTGGTTAGCTCAATGGATAGAGCACTGGACTGTTGTGCGGGAGGTCGAGGGCTCGAGCCCCGGCCGGACCAACACTCAGGGTCTTAAAGTAATTGAGAAGAATTCGCTGCCTTTCTATAACATCAAGAAATGGTCAAATATTCTAGTCTTCTCGGATAGGGACAAATAAAATTAATGGAGGTCCCGTCTCCTGCAGGGTTGGGGTAGGAGACATTAATTTTCCACACACAAAGATTACTGTGTGATGAATGTCCTCCCCTGGGGTGGGATGGGTGGGTTTATCGGGCCCACAGTAATTGGCGCAAGCTGTTGCGGTGTCCCTGCTGGTTGGCAAAGCTAAATAAATCTAAATCACTGTCAGCAAACCTTTAGAACCAGAGTTTTCCTTGCATCTCTATGGATGGTCAGTACTCAACTGCATAAAATTCAAAACCATCTATTAACACCTTTCAGGTTATGGAAGTAGCTTGATGTCAACATGGACAAAAGAAACAAGTACCTCAAAGAGACATTTGACTTCCTCTTGTTATGAGCTTGGTTTAATTATTGAAAATTCTTTGAACCCTGATGAGTATTCAAGCCTGAACCATCTCATTTCCTAACATATGGTCCACTTCTAAAGCTATAATCAATCCTTAGGAAGATAAGCCTAAACTAGGTTCAGCGAATTAATGCACTTCACTTGCCATTTTCATTTGGAATAAATAAAAATAAAAGAAATAATTGGATTGGTAATGGGTTGTCTACACTGCAGAAGTTTTTTTTGTTTTGTAAATCGATTATTTCTTTCAAAATGTTTGGGTTTTGAGATTCCCCCTCTTCCAATCTGTGATGACCCCTCTCCCTCTAGGTAATTAAAGATACAAGTACAGAGAGAGAAAAAACCAGTTTATTGGTGACCTTTAGCACAGCCCTTTACTGTCAACCTTGAGTTGTCCCTGATACTTTCCACAATGCCTATTTCAAGCTATAATTCAGTGGGACATGCGAAAAAGGGGGGAGAAACAAGCCAAAGTTGCATTTGTCAGGGGTACGGTTTTTTCTTTGAGTCCCCACTTTTTGCTTGTTTCCACAAAGCCAGAACCTGGCTCAGGCAGCTTTTCACGCACACACAATAGAGATCATTGATTACAGCTGAACTACCCGTCAAAAGACATGTTCATACAGATAAGTAGATACTGTAATTTTGATAG